TATATATATATATATATATATATATATATATATACATATACACAGTGGATTTTCATTAGGCTGTTACTTATTGCAACTTTTTGAATGGAGGCCAGTATGGGAGATAAACTTCATGAGTGCCTGGCAGGCTATCCTTAACACTTCTGGCTAGATTGCATGCACCATTGCACATGTTAAATATGCGTTATTATTTATGAGTTAATAGGCCAGGTATTCACAGAAAATCGCTCTCCATAATTGCATGTGCCTAAGATGTGCAGATGGACAGCAAAGGGAGAGGCAGCATTCATAATCTCCAGACAGATTGCAGCAACAATGGATGACTTGATCCCCAAGGCTCCTGGCCCACTTTTGTCTCATCAACCACACACAGGCACAAACTGACTGTGTCATTTTTGTATTGTCTGTCAATGTAATGATCGCTCACAAGTGCTTCTTATGGGGCTGCTCGCAGGTAATGTGATGTAGGTAGTCAGCGAGGAAGGCGGGGCAAGATCGACAAAGAGTGTTGTGAATGGGTTTGTGATTCATTGAATCTTAGCCTGTCCTGCATTAATTGATGTTCAACCAAGACATCTGACGAGTTAAATAGTCCTAATTAGCCCATTGCAGAACTGCAATTGAATTTTAGTCAATTATGTATGGCATTCTAAATTATGCAAGTTGAGTATGCATTATGCATTATTCAGTCATCTAACTTTTCCGTTAAGTACCTGAAGAGGAACTTTGCAAGGCCGAGGCGTGAGAGACAAGAAGACAGATTACCTTCAGAGCTGCTTTATGTGTTTTGGCCCTGGCAGCCACTAGAATGTGTGGTAGCGCTTGTGCTCGTACATTTGGTCTGTCATTACTGAGTCTGCCGATAAGCTCCCACACCTTTCACCTCATTAAGAAAAGATGTGATGCTGCTGCACCTATAAGAATACATAACGAGGGGCAGAAGAGGTGAAGAAAATACACATTGTGGCACGAGAAGCATACAAAGTGAGAGATGAAGGGTGAGGAGAGTTAGAAATAGAAGCAGAGTGAATTCCTGTTGAATCAGGGATGCTGCTGATACATGTACAGTTGTCCTTGTTTGTCTGTATGTGCCGGGCTGGATGATGGGTGGAAACTTGCAAGGAGCTGACATCTGGCCAACCGCAAGCAGGGGATCAATCACAGGCAACACAGGACACACTTGGCCTCAATTACAGTAGATTTGGTTTTTTGGTATGACAACAGCTGAGCAGGTAGATACAGGTCGGTTACCCTCCACCACCTGTTCGTGTTCAAAATGAAATACTGATGAGGTTACAGAGACCAGCTTTGATTGCATTTGCAATTCCTGTGTGTATAAGCATGTGCGAGTGCAGTTTACAAGTGCACACTATATGCATTTATACCCGAATGAACCGCACAGTACACAGCTCCCGGTGTTTCACCAGGTGGAAAATCAGAAACCAGGTTGTGTCAGGTATTTATTCTGATTTTTAGTTTGGCTGTCACATCTTCTTGTCTGTTTGGGTCTTCCCTTCTTCATTCAGGTTTGAATCAGCTGTCACATCCCCATGGAAACAGTAGGCTGTAGTACATAGAAGCAGAGTAATGTGCAGTGTACATGGACAGTGTCACTTAGTATTTTACTCAGCAAACTAAAACAATGTATACAATCCACATTTTAATCTGTGAAACCTGTATGATAGATACAAGATTGCAAGAATAAATATATTTTCTTAAGTTAAAGATGAGAAATACATAATTCCCTGAAGGGTAATGTACTATATTGAGCAGTAGGAGTAAGTACTCAGTAAGTACTCAAGCAAAAGCAAGTCCATTAGAAGAAAAGGCCAAACATGAATTTTACTGTTTCATTGCATGAAAGGAATAAGAAAAAAGAAACTGACTTGATGTAAGAGGAATATTTCTTCAGGTGAATTGCTAACAAGTCACCATCTAACATTTCAGATTGTGAGCTGTTAGCTGGTACTGTACAGACATTTAAAAACAAGGAAATAAACAAATAATAAAATAGATTAGATTAGATAGCTCAAGGAGCAAATGCACATTAAAATATATTCAAGTACCTCAAAATACTAGAGATCAGAGGAGAATGGCCAGCCTGGTTTGAGCTGATAGGAAGGCAACAGTAACTCAAATAACCACTTGTTACAAGCAAGATATGCAAACGAGCGTCTCTGAATGCACAGCATGTTGAACCTTGAAGCAGATGGACTACAGCAGATCAGGAACACACTGGGTGCCACTCCTGTCAGCTAAGAACAGGAAACTCAGACTGTACATCAGAAGGTTGTAAAAATGTTTTCTGGTCTGATGAGTCTCAATTTCTGCTCAGACATTCAGATTGTAGGGCCAGAATTTGGCATAAACAACATGAAAACATGGATCCATCTTGCCTTGTAAGAATGGTCCAGGATGGTGGTGGTGTGATAGTTGCGGCACAGTGTGAGTCCCGTTGTACCAGCTGAGCACCATTTAAGCAATCCTTAGTTTTGTTCGTGACCATACCCAACCCTTTATGATCACATTGTACTCATCTGTTTCCAGCAGGATAATGCGCTGTACCACAAAGTTCAAATCACTTCAAACTGCTTTCTTACAAATGAGGATGAGTTCACTGTACTTACATGGCCTCCACAGTCACCAGATTCCATTTCCAATACAAGCACCTTTGGGATGTGGTGGAACAGGAGATTTATTCATGAATGTTCAGCCAACAAATCTGCAGCATGTGTGATGCTGTCATGCCAACATGGAGCAAAATCTCTGAGGAATGTTTCCAGCACCCTGTTAAATCTATGCTTCAAAGAATTAAAGCAGTTCTGTCCAATCTAATACTAGGAAGGTGTACCTAATAAATTGTGCACTGTATATGTACTAGCATTTTCCACCTATAATACAGCACTGCCACAAACAATATTTTCCATAATCTGTAAATTAGATGTGGAAATCAGAGCATAATCTTCAATATGATAAAATCACAATATGTTGCCTACAATAACAGTAATGTCACAATATATTTATGCTGTGATACACATGTATATCATGTGGTAACACAATCATCTATGACACATAACAATATTTTAATAGGAAGAAAATCTCAGCGGGTAAAATATTGGAATTATATATGAATTCACTCAGCCATGGTGTTTGTGTGTTTTATCACTATAACTTAATTTCAGTAACCTGTCAGAGTTAATTAGTTGTCTAATTTGTTCCCCACCCCCGCTCCCCGTAACTTTCTTCTTTGCTGCAAATTCTGTGTTACCACAAGGAGTCTTGAGCTAGTGACTGTAGTAAGTTAAATTTACTGGGGAGTCAGTTTCAGAGCGCCTACATATTTTAATTTAAATATTGATATAATATTGATGTAGATGTCAACAAATGCATCGCAAGAGGAGGAACAATCATTTTCCTGTGTCCATGGAATGTTTTTCCAAGCAGTTAATTAATAATCAGTGGTTGGATAATCAATTAGTCACTGGTTGAGGATTATTTTATGCTGATCAGTTAGTCACTTCAGTAGAGACATTATTAAGTAAATAAGTTTGGTTAAAAGGGCAAAAGCAAAGTCCACATGTCAATGTTAAATTAATCGTTTTAAAAGTAACCTCTCTAAGGTTTTCCATGGGAGCCTCGTTAGGTACAGGATTATGGTTCATATTGTTTACGGGGTCCTGACAGGCATGATGTAATTTACAAACATGTTCCCACAGTCAGAGTTAACAAGCGAGTTCTCCAAGTCAGGAGTAAATCGCCTTCACTGCTACGACAACTGCAAGAGCGACCATGTTGCTGTAAATAATCCCTGCGTGTTTGTTGCCAGTGATTATGAAGCAATACATCTGTCAGTGTAAGTGACAAAGTCAGACAGAAGAGTGTGTGGGGCCGAGCGATGACTCATGCATGCTTAATATTCATCAGTCTAGTGGTAGCATCACACCATGAGGTTCTGTTACTAAATTGGTGCTCCATAGCAATCGACCGCAGAGCTTGAGTGTACTTTGTCTAAAAAAAGAGACACTGTGTGTGTAAATGAGCGAGACGGAGACAGCGTGAGGATGCAAGAATAAGCAAGTCATTGATAACGCGTTGGCTAAGGGGCTTAGCAGAAACGAGAGAGAGAGATGACACGAATCATCTCCCGATGATTGGATCGGCTCTTCTGTCATACTTTAATCACTTTCAGCATCCAAATGACATGAGTGATCGCCTGCTTTTCTTTCCGAGACGACTACATCACAGAGTCCTCCAGCATGACATTCAGATTGATGAGGCCTCCCAAGGTTACTGATCGTTTGCCTCCCTCTGTTCTTAACTGTCTTCCTCCTTTTCTCAAATCACTTTTGCCTTTTTTATTAGTATGAAGCACAGGTGCTTTATCTTGCCAAAGCAAAGGATGAAACTGTCTTGAGGGAAACATTCATATCTACTACAGCCTGACTTATATTACCAGGAGGACTGCACTTGTTATTGTCCTGGCTGAATAAACACAGATTATTTAACAAACACCTGTTTGAACACATTTGTAGCTTTATGAAAGTTTTTAAAATCTTACAGAAATCTTAGTAGAAATGTGAATTTTAAAAGGTCGGGGTGGTTATCAGGTAGGAGAGAGCTGGCCTGTTGCATTTTAAGAAGTGCCCTTCAGTTTGCAAGTTGGAGAACTGAATATTACAAGTTGGGCCCTGCTTTTCACAGAGAGGCCTCTCCTGCTTTCACTGATGTTTTATCAGAATGGTGGCGAATTTCTTGCAGTAACATCTTCCATAGGCACTTGCATCTGACCCTCCAACTTGGGGACCACCAATGTTGTATAACTGTGCCAGTAGCATCTTTTAACCACTAGCAGCAGTCTTTCTTTTTTTTCAATCAGGTGGAAATGCATTTAACAAGTTTTAGAAAATCTAATGGCACCAAGTTGTTGGGAAAGCTTTAAGAACGTGATACCCATCTTGCCCTCAGGTGCTTCAACTTTGACCAATCTTGTTTTGATGTGTCTCTTTGAACTTATGGAAATGTAAAATTGAATCAGAGTTGTGCCCCTTTGAATCTAATTTTTCAGGATTATATGTTTAGGATGGGAATGTCAAAATGGACGGATGCTTGGCTCTGCCTTTTGCAATGTGGAGGAACACAAGAGGAAGACACGGTGCCCTGATTCAGCCAAACAACATTTTTTTTAAATGAATATGCAGGAATTGTAGCATTATCCACATCAAGTGCAGGATACAGTCTTTTTTTTTTAACAGTAGGAATTTTGACTCATCACAGTAGAAGAAGCATGCTCTAGGCTCTCTCATCTTCCTGTAAAAGAAGACGTCATTCATCAGAAGAGGCCTCCTTCTTCCATTGCTCTGTGTTCCAGTTCTGATGCTGTCATGCCCATTGTTGGCTCTTTCAGTGGTGGACCGGAGTCAGCACGGACACCCTGACCCTGGTCTGTGGCTATTCAGCCCTATACCCAACAAATTCTGACATCTTTCTATCAGTCAGCATCAACTTTTCAGCTCGTGTGTTGGATCCAACCACGCTGCCCAGCGTTTACGCCCCTGCATCAGTAAAACTTGGTTCACCACTGCTCCTTCCTTGGACCACTGCATACCAGGAACACCCCATTTTTCCTGCTTCTAATGCATCAATTTTGAGGACAAAACATACACTTGGGATATCCCACCCACTAACAGGTGCCATGATGAAGAGATAATCAGTGTTATTCACTTCACCTGCCGGTGGTCAAAATGTTATGCGTGATTGGTATACTTCACCACACTGTCATTTCACAGAGAGCTTATAAGCAGGTTCACTCTTGAAAAGTGACAAAGTGACACATGCAGATTTCAGTCACAGTGAATACTAATCTTGTTCAGTTTTGAGTATTCTGTTAATGCTCATCATTTGAGCTGCTCACAGGTGACAAAACCGTGGTGTCTCTGTTTGTAAAATCATGTTAATATAGATTTCAGTAATACTGACTTATGCTAAACATACATATAGATAAAGCTTATATTGGTCCCAGTAAAGAAAAAAGAGAAATTTTGCTTACATTAATATTTAATATTTCTGTTTCTGGTTTGCGAGATGCTGCTAAACCTCTTTTACCACAACATGAAAGTCTTTTTTCTGTTTTTGCATTAGCATGTGAGTCAGCATATTCAACTGGTTAAGATACTGCCAAAGTGTGCAAAGTTGTCTTCAATCCAAACAGCAGCTTGAGATGTTTTTGCCTTTATTTTAAATTCTATTTGTGGTATTTGGCAAACCTTTTAAAACAACAAGACAATATAAGAAAACAAGAAACGAAGATGGAGAGACCAGAGTTAAATAAAGAGTAACTGTCCATCGTTATCTTTTTAGATTCTACTGGGACCTTTTGATGTTACTGTTGATGATGGGAAACCTAATCATCCTGCCAGTGGGCATCACGTTCTTTCGAGACGAGAACACTCCTTCATGGATCATCTTTAACGTGGTCTCGGACACTCTCTTCATGGTCGATTTGGTCCTTAACTTCAGGACCGGCATCGTCAAGGAAGACAACACTGAGATATTACTCGACCCGAGGTTAGAAGGAGCATTTATGTGCGTGTGTGTGTATTGTCTGGAATATCAGTGCAGCAGGCCCAATGCCATAAATTTAAATTTGCTCTTCTGGCCATCTGCTGGGTTTGTGTTCAAACAAATTAATGTGTGAGATGTGAAAAGGTGATGTGAGGCCAGTGGCAGAGCTTTGTTCAAATCCCACTGTGTTCCTGTTGAATATTTATGAGGAAGGTTTCATGCCAAGCAAATGTTGAACTCTCTTCCACGAGACTAGACTGCCTAATGAGGAATGACACTGGTCTTCCATCTCACTCTAACGTCAGGGCGATTCGCCAGAAATACCTGAAGAGCTGGTTCCTCGTGGACTTTGTGTCATCCATCCCGGTGGATTACATCTTCCTAATGGTGGACAGTCTGGACTCAGAGGTCTACAGGACGGCCAGGGCGCTGCGGATAGTCCGCTTCACCAAAATCCTGAGCCTGCTTCGGCTCCTGCGCCTGTCCAGGCTCATCCGCTACATCCACCAGTGGGAGGAGGTAAGAAGCACAAACTCAGATATTTGTGGAAAAGATTTAATATTTAAGGCATGACTCATCAGAAGCCCCTTTTGTATGAAACAACATGCTTGGAGGTCAGAGGCACCCCTGTTTTGGATGTGTTGCTGATCAAGAGGCTTTTAGGGATAAAAAAAAAATCTAAAACCCCATTTGCTCTCTTTAACCGCACTTATTTTTACGTCCTCTTCTTTCTCAGATCTTCCATATGACCTATGACCTTGCCAGTGCTATGGTAAGGATAGTAAATCTAATTGGCATGATGCTGCTGCTGTGCCACTGGGACGGCTGTCTCCAGTTTTTGGTCCCCATGCTGCAGGACTTCCCTCCTGACTGCTGGGTTTCTAAGAACGTGATGGTGGTGAGTCTCTGTGTTATTTTTAATATGTTTCAGTGAACGATTTTATTGTCAGGCCAACAGACGCAGGACGTGATGTTCAGGCTGAGCTGAATGAATCACACAAAAGCCTATCTGGATTGTTTGAACAGCGTGCGCAATATTTGTTTGAGATTTAAGCAAACCGCTGCTTCTGAAAAGACTCACTGTTTATCAGATTTGCCATGCTTTGCCCCTTATCTGTGTTAACTGGCTCATGCAGCAACATGTCCAGTTAGAATAAGATTGACTGTAATTAAAAACCTCCCAGAGATCAGGTGTAGGTGTGAATGAGCTCAATCTGTGGAAGGCCTGGGGACCTGCTGGAGATTTTGCATGAAAGCATACAGACTCAGATATTCAGCTGATTCATGTCTTGCAGTTGCCTGTGTGATGGTTGCTAAGCAGACTGATGCTGGGATTTTCCCCAGAGAAGGTCCCCTTGTCCAATGGACCATTAACGTCTTAGTATAATTGGACTCATACACAAAAACACACACACACACACATAGAGGTGGCTCATTTTATTGTCAGTCTTTAGAACATTTATTTAATAATGCAAGATGACGGCCCTTTTATTGTTTTATATGTAGCGCAGCTGCTCGATTTTATGATTTTGGTCAGCACACTGGCTTTCGGCACTTAAATTGCTCTCCTGCAATATGTTATGATCTCAGCTGTATTTTCTAAAATGGTTAGGCTGAGCCACTCAGAGGGGAAAACGCTCCCGTAACCCGACTAAAATAAGAACAGTTCAAGGCTCCAGCGTCTCTGTAATTAACGCTTGAAACTTGTTTTATTCCTCTGTCACCCTTCCTCTCTTCCTCTCCCGCTCACAGAACGACACATGGGGTGTGCAGTACTCCTATGCTCTGTTCAAAGCCATGAGCCACATGTTGTGTATCGGCTACGGTGCCCAGGCTCCCGAGGGGATGACTGATGTGTGGCTCACCATGCTCAGTATGATTGTAGGCGCCACCTGCTATGCCATGTTCATCGGCCACGCCACCGCTCTGATCCAGTCACTAGACTCATCGCGGCGACAGTATCAGGAAAAGGTGAAATATGATGCTTGTTTATGAGTGTTGTATGACTGTGGGTGCTTCTGACTATGTAGATCTACAAGCCATCCAGGTGGGTCCGTTCTGGGTCATGCAGCCTTTAGGTTGACTCTCCTTGTTCAGACTTTAAACTTTGTTCAATTTTTTTGTCTGGGGTTTCAATTACTATTATTAGCGGTAGGCTGGTTTTAATTAATGCTGAAGCTAAGATTCACAATTTAAAATGAAACAAAAAAATGCTCCAAATTCTTAAATTTGGACAAATCTTTGCATGAAGCCAGTGCAAGGGGAAGCATAGATCACTGTGAGAAAAATGTGTGGAAAAAACGAGTTTGTGATTTATGTTGGGAAAAAAACAAAGAGTTTGCTAAAGTTATCACAGTGACCTTTATTTTATTAGAAATCAAAATAGGCCCTTTTTAGTGTTAATGATTAATACAAACCGTGGGAGGCATGAACTTTTTTAGCTCCTAAAGAGGACCCTGCCAGAAAAAGTCAGATAACCACGGGAGTAGTGTTTTTCAATTTGGGAATGAACCTAGTAAAGGGGTCAAGAGATAAACTAAAGTTCAAAAAAGGGGGAAAACATTTCAACATATTTCTAACACCCGGAAGTACGCTCTAGTAAGATAAAGTATTTAAGAAGTTGGTGTCTGAAATCACTGAAGTTCTTCTGCATAATAAATATAGGCATATAATGAATTAGGGTAATTCACATTGTACAGTTAAAAACAATATTATGCCCTTGAAAATGTCCACAGTGTTGAAGAGATCGTAACTTCCCACTGGAGCTGTGAGTCAACATTCGTAGATTTGAAATTATACCTCACAATGGCTGTGCAAAGTGATGATAGTTTACTATCTAACATATATACATCTCACTGTCTGAATATCTATTGAGGCACTGACCCACACACACCAACACAAACATATCAAACTGAGGTCACATTTCAAGGTTGATTCTGATTTAAAATCTCTAAAGAATGTATTTCCACAGTCTGCGTGTACTCTTCTCTTAAAGTGAATGTGTTTGTGCCTTCGTTATTGCAGTACAAGCAGGTGGAGCAGTACATGTCGTTCCATAAGCTCCCGGCAGATGTTCGGCAAAAGATCCACGAGTACTACGAGCACCGCTTCCAGGGAAAAATGTTCGACGAAGAGAACATCCTGGGAGAACTTAGTGAGCCGCTAAAAGAGGTGATAAACTCACAAACACCCACACCATCACACATACATGCCGTAGATGCTGTGTTCATGCCTGCAGCAGATCTCAGACTAGCACTCCCTCCTCTCTTTATCCCTTCTTCCTCTTTGTTTAGGAGATAGTCAGCTTTAACTGCCGCAGCCTGGTTGCTAACATGCCGCTGTTCGCCAACGCTGATCCCAACTTTGTGACCGCCGTACTTACCAAGCTGCGCTTTGAAGTGTTTCAGCCATCAGACTTCATCATCCGTGAGGGCACAGTTGGACGTAAGATGTACTTTATCCAGCACGGACGCGTCAGCGTGCTGACCCGTGGCAACAAGGAGACCAAGCTGAGTGATGGGTCTTACTTTGGAGGTGAGGATGTTTTGGTGTCTCGTTTAACAAGAAGGAGAAGGTTTTGGAGGGTGGAGCAGAAGCAGAAGATAGCAGTAGTTTTTTCTGTGGTTGGTTTTGCAGAACTACTGTATATACTGCAATTTCCCTGTTATATTGATAAAACTGTCCTCTAATTGTCAGAGATCTGCTTATTGACTCGAGGACGGAGGACAGCCAGTGTCCGAGCAGACACATATTGCCGTTTGTACTCTCTCAGTGTGGACAGCTTCAATGAGGTTCTGGAGGAACACCCGATGATGCGACGTGCCTTTGAAACTGTTGCAGCTGACCGACTGGACCGTATTGGTAACTTGTGGTTTTTGAATTGCTACGTACATTTGTTTTTCAATACTGACAATACCAAATACTTGCAGATATCACAGGCCCTTTGTTAGGATTGTTCAAGCCGCCAAAAGATCAGGAGTCCTCTTTGAATACAAGCTGTAAGAATTAAAAGTAAAAATAACTAAGGATTAGAAATCTTTGTAATGTAAAAAAAACAGGAAAACGCTTGAGGCTAAAACTCCAGCTACGTGACAGCTTTACCTACTTTAAAAGATATCATTCCTTTAGGCATTCCGTTTTGTCAAGCTCAGTACCTCAGGTTACAAAGACATGTTGAAGATTTTATTTCACATTTCCCCTTCTTTTTCTCCTCTACAGGCAGGAAGAACTCCATGCTCACGCGGAAGTCATCCCAGGGCGGTTCTCTTGGTGGCAGCATGGGTCGTGGTGGAGGCCGGGGTGGGGGGGGTCCAGGAGGTGGTGGTATGACAGCAGGAGGTCTGGGTTCCTGTGACAGCATGCTGGTGCAGCAGATTGTTAAACACGACAGCATGCCAGCCATGCAGGATGCCATTGCGGCCGCTGCTGCCGCTGGAAGAAGTGGCACGGTGTCTCCTCGGCCACGCCCCGTCATCTGGGCGCCGCTGGTCCATGCTCCCCTGCAGACTGCGGCTGCAACAAGTAATGTAGCCATTGCCCTCATGCACCAGCAGCAACAGCAACAGCAGCAGCTGCAGCAGCTGCAGCAGCAGCAGCACGCTCTTGGAGGAGCTTTTTACCTGCCCTCCCCTCTCATCTCCCCCTCTCCCTCCTCCTCTTTCCCTCTTTCTTCTCCTCGTGCTCCTGTGTTGCAGCCCCTTCGCCCCTCTGTGAGCTCTCTCATTGGGATGATGGCGATGGGAGGATTAGGTGGCTTGTCGCCAAGAGGATTTCCTGTCTCCCCCTCAACCATGGGCCCTCCTGGTGGGGTGGCATCGCCTCCTGTTGCTAAAACTCCACCCACTTCAGCCTCCTCTGTCCCAACTTCTGTCCAACAAGGAAGGAATCTCCATTACAGCCTCCGACTTCAGGCAGATCATCCCTCAGCGATTTCTGGATCTCTTGGAGCCCAAACAGGAGGAGGAGGACCAGCTGCACCTCCCCACAAAACACCAGCCGCCAATCCGCCTGCCTCCAGTGGCCCATCAGATGGCAACACTTCGCTTACAGCTCAGCAAGGGGCAAAAGAGGCTCTGTTACGTCATGGAGGAAACACTTCACAGGGTCTCCCAGCACTAGGAAGACTCACCCAGGAAGCCAGGCTGCTCTCAGCCTCACAGCCCACCCTGCCTCATCGCTCTTGGGCTGCAGTGCAGCCTCACCCTCCTCTCCATCGGAAGGCTTCTGGCGGTAATTTGCTAGCAGCTCCGTTTCTGGCAGGGCAATTAGCCAGGGGAAGCAGTGCAGGCCTGCTGACCTCTAATCCTTCAGTACAGCTGGTGACAAATATGGCATTTAATGCACAAACACAAGCACAGGGCACACTTCCTGTCCAGCCCACTATAGCACAGACTGTATACACACAGTCTGCAGCTCACACTGCCTCTGCTGCCACAGCTGCACACATGCCTTCTACATCTTCTGTGCCAGCATCTTCCTCTCCTCCAAAGCATACCCCGCTCTCCTCTGCCACCCCTTCCCCTGCACCCACTCCTTCATCTCCTACACCTATTCTTTTCCAGACTCCTCGACCGAAACCAATCCCAATGACCCCTTCCCGCTCCTCCTCTCCTCCTCTCTGCTCCACCCCTCCATCGGCAGGAACAAGCCCACTGTTGCTCTCTTCAACTCCTCGTCCCAAACCGATTCCTACACCCTCCTCCCGCTCGTCCTCTCCCTCTCCCTCTTCCACACCACCTCCATCCTCTGTTTCTACCCCTGTTCCACTACCTCAGCCTTATGGGACCAGATCCTCACTCACATCCTCTTCTCCCCCTTCCTCTTTGGTTTCATCTTCTCCGCCCCACCCCCAGAGCCCAAGAGCGAAGGCATCCAACACACCACCATCTGCTTCTCCATTGTCGGGTGCCAGCCCTGTCTTGACTCCAGTCCCTTCTCCCACTCAAACAACCCGCACCCGAACATCTACCCCTTCCCAAACGCCTACTCAAGCCAGCACACCGGGTACCCCTACCCAGACCTTCACCCCAACACCTTCCTCATCTCCCACCCCTCTTACATCTGTCCCCTCCCTGAGTAAATGCCACAGTCCAACACCTTGTCTCCAGGCCTCAGTCTCCAGCTCAGCAAGAGTCCCCACTTCAAGCCAGATTCCTAAACAGGTCTCACCTCTCACCCCAACCCAAACTTCAACTCTGTCCCAAACACCTGCTAGCACTAACACTCCAACTAAAGTAACTTTTTCAGTTCATCCTGTAAAGCAAACATCTCCTGTTCTAACTCCAAGCTCCACTGCCAAACAAATCACATCCACAGCCTCCTGCTCAACAATGTTATGTCCAAACCAGAGCTCCACAAAGTCCCCCTCTCCTTCTACCCCCTCCAGCACCACCACCAACACCACTCCTTGTGTTCAGCCGGCCTCTTCTAACCCCCCAAAACAAATACCAAGCACCATGGCTGCCCCTACCCAGTCCTCAAAACTCAATACACGTTCCACCCCTGTCCAGACCACACAAGCATCCACCACTGCACCCACCCAGTCGGCACACGCAGACTCCCCTGCCAAATCCACCTCTCCTAAAGGTGGACAAAAAGACCCTCAGCTGTCACCGGGCAGAAAAGACTCAGAGGGACTACGACACAAACTGCCCGCCAACATGTAAAACATAAAAAAATTAAAAAAAAAAAAAAAATGAGGAGGAAAACCTCATAAAATGTTGGACTTTGTGTTGTGGTGGGTGCCTGAATAGCAGAGCCATGGATATGCAGAGTTGTGTCAGAGTTGGCACCAGACAAGCCGTGATCTCACGAGGACAAATACATGTTTGCATTCACTCTAGGATGTGATTGTCTTAGAACATCAGGTGTTCACGTGACTCACAGCCAAGCCATCAATCAAGGATCCAGGAGAAAGACTTTAGGGGTCCGCAGAGGGGTTGATAAGGCAGAGTCTAATAAAAACATCCAAATGTATACATACATATCTGTGTTAGTGATTGTTGGAGCAAGCTGGGGAGCTGAAGTGGAAATATGCTGCAGTGTATCTACACAATAAAACGGGAAGGAAACAACATCTGGGAGTCTGGAAAATAAATTAGAAGCTAATGAAAAAAAGCAATACTTGTGATGCATTTTTCTCACTAATTAAACAGGAAATTTCCTTGACAATAATAATGAATGTGGGAAGATATTAATCGTTTTCCTGTTTGAAGGAAAGTCATGATGACAACATGCAGGCAATAGAGCAGATACTTCCTTGTTTCCAGCTCCAACTCCCTCTTGCCTCCTATTCTTCACCAAAGTGTAATATTTTCTCATCAGAATAATAATAATTATACTGATATAGCGTTTAAAAAGCACTGTAAAGTCAATATTCATATGAATTTGAAAAATTAGGAGCAGTCCACTTGTAGTTTTGTTGTCCCAGGTGCGTGGTGTTTAGTTTTTGAACAATACAAACCTTTTAAATCTACATGTTCGCTTTGACAGCTTCTGTAAATTGTATTTTTTTTCTTCTCTGTGTGTGTGACACACAATACTGCTCTGCTGTGCATTGTGGTTCACTTGATTTCTTTCTTTCTCCACCCGTCTCCCTGTACTGTAAATACGTGCCTCTCTGTGGGTCTGTTGTGTGCTTCCTCACTCCTCGGTCTCTTTGTCTTTCATCTCGTGTCTGTCTAGCTGCCTTTCATCTGATTTCACAGCTCTGGTCGCTAACTGTTTCTTTGACGCTCACAGACTCACTCCCTTTCTCTCAGTTTGCCCGACACTTTGCTCTCTGCTGCCGTCGGCCTCATGTTCAATTAGCGGTTTCCTTCTTCTGTCGCCCTATGACACTGTTTCAGCACAGTTTCCAGTGATGTTTGATGTTTTCTGTGGGTAGCAACAAGGCATTTCTGTCTTAATCCCTGATACCATGTTGCCTAGACGATATATTTAAGGACCAAATGTTTTATTTTTTATTTATCACAGCTTTAGCTTTTGGAAAGAAAAGACGGCTAATAGTACTGCCAAACTGATGATCATGAGTGTGACACTGAGGGTGATGATTTTCTGCTTGTGATAATGATGATGCTGACATGATGATGATGGTGTATAGCTGGATGTAAGAATAAAGTCGATTTAGGTATTATCTTGTCGAGCGTGTTGAGTTGTGAGTTTATTGTGTGTGTGTGTGTGTGTGTGTGT